CCCAGCAAACTACTATCTCAAAATACCAGAGAAACAATAATTCAGTGTTGATTAAATGCTTTCACCTTGCTGAAGCTAACCAACCCATTAGGGTAGCTTATTATGCAAATACATAACTCTGTTGGTGAAAACCAGCAAGTCGGTGGTTAGTTGTACTTGATTGTTATGCAGCTGAGGTCTACGCGTTTTGTGCCACGTTCGGGGATAAAGGTAAGACATTTTCAAATTTCGTATCATGTTTTCCTAGAACTCTCTTGAAAACTTCGTGTTATCTACCCTTGATTCCAGATGGGATCGTCTATAGGTAACCTTGAGGTAACTTGAAGAGTGTTCTGGTCTTGCCTACCAAACTCAGACACTGTTCAAAGGACCTAAAGTATTGAGTCGTAATGAAACCCGATAATTTTGGTCTTATTAATAATAATAATAATTCCAACTGTGCTCTTTGGTTTTGTTATTGCCATCAGTAACCTGCGTTTAAATAGATCTAGCAGTGAGTCTCACCTATTGGACCAATTCTGGCTGCACCGCGCTCTATCCATACACCAATTTCTAGACCAAAAGCGTTCCAAAACAGTCGTTGCCGATCAAATGGTATGGCAATAGAATATCACACTTTCTACTTGCCCTTTAAAAATGAACGTACTATTCAGTTCTCTACAGTAAATCCATTAAGGTGCAATCAGGGATTAAACGATTGGTAATCTGTTTACATTACTTTGGCGAGGAGTTATCCGGAAAAGGTTTAGGCTTACAGACGGTCTTAGAATGGTCACAAGGTACATTTGCTAGTAATTATTCAGCTTCATCTGTTTATCAAAACTTTGTTCTTGCCAGTCTCGTAGAGCAAAACATGAAACAACAGAATGGTGAACATAGATATTGTATTTTAAGGTTGAATACAGTGATATGGAAAGAGGCATTGAACGAAAATGATAGAAGTGCTCAGTAAAACAAAAACATCTATTAAACTTTAGCGCCACTGCAGTCCTTTATTACGAAAATTATGCGGAAGATATGGGCAGTTGACAGAGTAAAAAGATTCTGCTTAGTAAAAGCTCAAAATTAGTAAGTGGATATGTGCGGTTAGTGGGAAAAACAAAAAACGAACGAAATTGCTAGAAAATATAACAAGGAAGTCTGAGGAATGTTTCAATTTCAGCTTATACAACCATTGACTTCCAAGCGATGACTTTTTGACGCTTTTTGTCTCAAACAATTAAGAATAACGTAATTCCGAGTGCGGTAACGAATTAAAGATACAGATGTGTGCAGAAGGTAAATAAATACACAAGCATAACTTTTCAAAACACTCAATTTAATCACCCAGTTTATCCAATCACAGATTAGGCTGAGTCCGCACCTTTCTTCTGCGAATCTTAACGCATTATATATGGCAAAGTCCAATGGTGAAGGTTTCCATGCCTTTATACCAGATGGTAATCTGAGCCCACTTGTTCAGTGATGGAAACCGACTACCAAATCCCGGGGTGGCGAACCACATGAGGCCTAATCAGGCTAGGCACTGCAGTGGACCGGATGACAACAAAGCTGCCTACCATCAAAGTTGGGTGGCGGTGGTGGGATTTGAACCTCGGACCGTAGGGTTAAAGCACACCGGTGACAGCGATTAAACCACTGCGCCGCCACCGGTTTTACCGATGGGAAGTAGATGAAAGACTGCGTATGAGAAAACCATTTCTCAACATATAACAAGCATTTTTTCGAGAGGTTCAAATGATGAGGTGGTCTTTGCACTCCCGGAGGGGGGGATTGTTACCCACAACCACTATTACGTTTGAACGGACTCGCTTTCGCGCTAAGTACAATATCCACGCTTAACTAGTTAACTTTTACTCCTTCTCATTGTCACCCGTCTCTTTCCATTCTCTCAAATGGAGTATAAACTGAAAATCTATTGCGTAATCTGTTCGATGTTCGATGATGGAAAGGTATATCCAGGATTTGAACTTTATTCAGCTTATCCCCTGACAACATGAGCCGTAGACGAAAGGGGAAAAGTTTCGGAAAATGCGTACAATAGAATTAAGTAAACAAACAAGAGTTTGATGTGCTACTATATTTTAGAGTCTTCCGTTTGGCCTATTATTATTTGGTGGGCCTAACTCAGGACATATTTTTACTATACACGACTCCACAATAATTCAGCTATACAATCCGAGCCCAGTGGTGTATATGTTGCACCATGCTTAGTTTGGTTTCACCTCCTTAACAGTTTCTAAGAAGATGCGGTTTTGCTACCATCTTTCAACCGCTTTATCCTTTAACTGCTACTCAACTCCGCTTAGAGCAGGCTAGTGACATCAACTTGATTTACTCGATCGATACCATCTTACAACTCCGGATTTCTACACACAAGGAAGGCTTGAAATTCAATGGTTTCAACGGTTAAGAAACACTTGACTTCAGTAGGAATCCGATATGTGATAAGAATTGAGGGCACATTAACGAACTGACAGTTACAGCATCACCCATGATCTGTGAAAGCAATAAACTAGATTTCAGTTTAGTTCATGCGTATTCACCGTTGTCAAAACATGTGTATGAATCTTGTTGTGTGAGTCTTACTGTTTTGAAATTCAAAACTTCTCAGTTACTTCAAACAAATTTATTTTTCTTGCGCATAACGGTCGACAAACTGTACTGAACAGCTATTTTCTTCTGGTTTGGACTTATTGGTGGTAGGTGCTACTTATCGATTATAGTATTTAGTATTTAGTATTTAGTAAGGGAGGATCCCCAAAGGTATGTTGTAAGGCGATCCGGTTTCAACCAAAAAGTGTTTTCTAACATCCCACAATCAGCTATCTTGGGAGAGGTTGTGTTTAAACTTTTGCTTGTACTGTTCAAGCTCTGTATATTCTGATCACGCATTATTTTGCGTTAAGCTTGTTATGTTGTAGTAGATATCCAAAACAAAAACAAGCAAACTGCGGTTAGATTCTGGCAAATGTTTCCAACCTTGTATATATTAACTGCTTCCCAAAACGCGATAGCTCAAAAGCATGAGACCATCACATCAAGCATTTGAGGTGAGTAATGCACATTGATTCAAAACGCGATTGGCTTTTCTACAGGGACAAGTGTATAATATCACAGTTCTTAATGTTTCTAAGAGGCTGGGATCCTGCGAATTGAGGATACTCCATGGGTTCAACTATCTGATCATTACTGAGATATTGTCTGCGTCCGATAGAAACATCATGTGAGCAATCGCAAGGGTCAACTAAAGGGTTGGGTGACTAGAACGATTCCCCAATCGAGATAATAGTACTACCAATTGAATTATATTATGCTCCACCTCCGATAGCTTCGATACACACACCATACAGGTCTCTGTCCTTGTTGATCGTTTTTACGATATCCAGGTATGATTGAAAGAAGCGTTACGATGGTAAGAGTCCACGATCTGGTCTATGGGTATGGACTCAACGATAGCATTGACCGTAGTCGGTTATTTCTGATTGCTCAATTGCTCTCTAATTTCTTATCTGTTGTCTTTTATTTCACTCATCAAATAGATTGAATAATATTCCATACTGTATCCCAATGATCGGTCGTTCCGCTATTTTAATAACTGCTTTGTTTCTATCATTCCATTATTCAAACCAGCATATATAATACGGGGAATAAAATGGTGACTATCTCGTTTGAATGTTTAGAGACATGATCCAACTTACCAATCGCGAATCGCCATGTTCTTTTCCTTCTAAGAAGGTTTCGTGACCATTTACTGTCAAACACCAAACTGTGACCGCAATAATTCGTAAATTCTTTATTCATTAGTCAAAATATATCAGTGAACATTTATTTGGTCAAATCACTCCTCTGGTTACAAAAGATCGTAGAATTGATAAGTTTACTATGAATTTTGATAATCATAGTGAGCTTGGTTCAAAAGATATTTTATAAAGGGCAATCTTTTTCTTTCTCCAGGTCACTGCTTTCAACCAAACGATGACCGCAGTTTGGACCGCTATGAGTCTGCAAAGGAATGATGGAAATTCAAATAGTCTATCTCGTAGTCTTGGTTCGTTGATGACACCGCTAGATTCTGAGCAAATGCAGAACAGTACAGTTTTCCTCCNGCCACAGCGCCGACCCCGTCGATAAACGAATTAGATTCAAGGTGGTCTATGGATACCGAGGACCATTCTAGTGCTACATCTGTGCGTCATCTCTCCGCTCCTATTCCTCAGTTTCAGAAGCTGATAACCAATTCTGCTTCTTCAG